TTTTTTTTTTTTTTTTTTTTTTTTTTTTTTTTTTTTTTTTTTTTTTTTTTTTGATTTATCAAGAAATTTTCTATTAAAATTTTATGATAATTCAAAAAAATAAAAGGAATAATAAAAAATTAAGTAATTTTATAGTTGCATTATCATTGTAATGTATGTACATGAGAAACAAATCAAAAAAACAAAAATAAGGATATATAACAATTTCTTTTTTTTTTTTTTTTTTTTATATTTATCAATTTTTTAATTTATTATTAAAGAAAATTGCATATTTAAATGACAAAATTAAAATAATTAAGTTATTCTTTAAAGAAAAATAGAAGTTACAAAATATTAGAAAAGATTTTTTTTGCTAGTAAAAAAAACAAAGTAATTATAAATTATATTAATAACGCTTTTAATATTATAACAAATCTAACAAGCATTTTTATTGTTCTTGCTTTTATTTTATATAAAAATAGATAACGAATGTTTTCCTTCTTATATATAAAATCTTCAAATTAGTAATTTTTCCTCTTAAAATTTCATATTTAAGATTTCCTTACTAATAAAAGAAAATATTAGATGTATTTGCATTTTTTAGATGTTCTAAGGATAAGTTTATTTATTTTTATTGTACAGTAACCAACATTTCTTTAAATTTATGTTATTTATCTACCATTAGTTTATATATATATATATATAATTTTATTAAAATAAAAATAAACAAATGCAAATGTGTATATATATGCACAGTAGAATTAAGCTTTTGGATGTATTACGTAAAACAATTTATTCATTTGTTGTACCTTTAAGTATAATATATATTAATATTAATGCCCTTGAGGAATTTATTAATATTAGTTATTTTTTTTCCATTGCAACCATTTATTTTCTTGGATAAAAGGATATCTTCATAAACTAAAATTCTAAAAATATTACTATTACGTAAATTAAAAATGGGAAATTTTTTGCTTTTTGATCTAGCTTGAGTAGCTTTATATTATAAGCATTTAATAGAATTTTATATATTGAAATCTATACAATATTTATATAATTATAGAATTAAAAAAAATGTAAAAATGTACATATATATATTTTTAGGCATTTTCATTTTTTTATTAAAAAAAAATAAAAATTTTTACATTTTTATCATTGTAGTTCTAAATATTTAAAAAAAAAAAAAAAACTAAAAAATAAAATAAATACAATATAATTTATATTTTTTATAAAATTTCTACTAAAATAAAAACAAGTGATACATAAAAAAAAAAAAAAAAAATATTTTCACCAACTTTGATAAATGCAAAGAAACATTTTATATAAACTATTAATAATGACCTTATATATAAATTTGTATTTTATATTTGTCCGTTTACTTCAAAACTATATATTATATATGTGTTTATGCATATGTAATTATTTCGAATTCATATGTAATTTAAATATAAAAAAAAATTATAAATTATGTAATATTTTATTGTATATAAAATATATGTATTTACAAAATTTTTCAAAAAAAAAAAAAAAATAAAAATAAATAAATAAAAAGATAAAAAATTAAAATTACTTCATATTTTTTGATAAAAATGATGATGCACCAATAAAAACAATTAATGAACCTATAAGCAAACCTACAGTACCAACAATTTTAATAAAGGTATCTTTATTTCCCATAGGACCACTAGCAGGAATATCCATTAATTCAACCTTAGGTAAAGAGGCAACATATTGTAAGGAATTTAATTTATCAAGACCTTTTTTTGTCTTCAAATTAGTTTTATGTGTATAAATAACTTCACCACTTTTACTGCTAATAAATTTAGTAATAATACCATTGTTATTTAATTCATGTAAACAAAAACCTATATCATTACTAAAAAAAAGAGAATTTGATGATTTAATAGCGGGTTTTCCACTTGCTATAGCACCTGAGCCACATGTTACGTGTGTAATATCATTATCTTCTATAACTTCCATGTTATTATCATGACCGGCAATATATAAATCTACTTGAGCATCTTTTAATAATGGTAACAAATAATATGCTAAATAAGAATTTCCTCTTGATAATCCTGAAGAATAAATTGGTTGATCACCTACCACAATTATGAAATCTGCAATTTTTTTTGCAACAGTTAATTGAGATTTTAGATCATCCCATGCTCTCTCGTGAATATTTTTATATGGAAAATTTGGCGATAATATCCATGTATCAATAAAAATAAAAGCTGCAGCCATATCTTTATGGCCAGTTTTAACTATTGATGGTCCTGTTGAAACAGTAAAATGTGTGAAATAGTGATACCAATAATTTGGAATAATCCATTTAGGATATTCAGTTGCGTCTCCTTCTCTTTCAATAGCAGTTTCGCCATCCTTTTCTACATATATCCCCTGACCTTTTAATACTTCAGAGGTATAATTACCTGTCCAATCACGTGCTCCTAATACAGTAAAAAATGGCATGTACATATTTCCGCTTTCTTCTGCATATACGTCTTCATATAGATTTTTCCATGCAGGATCATTTAACCCTTTTACACCATCCAAAAAATTGGATCCTGGGCTTACTATAAATGTTACTCGTTCATTTTTTATATATTGTTTTAGATATTTTGCATTTAATAATTGAGATTTTGACTCTTTTCCCCAATCACCCAAGGATGCAAAACGTAATTGACATTGTATTTGATAAATGGTTATAAAGAACAAGACAAAAAAAACATTGAACACTGTTTTACAAACATTCATATTTTATGAATTAAAAATTAAAGAAAAAAAAATTAATATAAAAAAAAAATAATATAAATAAATATAATTGATGATATTATAAAGAAATAATTTGTTCATTAATAATACCAAAAAAAAAAAAAAAAAAAAAAAAAAAAAAAAATATAAAAAAAAAAAAAATTAAATAGTTAAAATGTGGAAATTATTATTTTAATTTATGATCATGTAAATATTAAGAAATAACCTAATAATAATATATGGAACAATAAATTCTCTTTCACACTATTTCTAGGCATTAAAAAAAAAAAATGTATATTTCATGTAAACGAAAATTGTACACACAAAATAGAAAAAAAAAAAAAAAATTAATAACAATTATAGGAAAAATAACAATATACTATCAATAAAAATGAATTCATTTGCAACACTTTTTTTTTTTTTTTTAAATATATATAATATATATATAATATATATATATATATATATAAATATATATATATATATATATACGTATATACATATATATATTTATATTTATATATATATATATATTACTTGTATATATACATATGTATTTTTTATATTATTTAAATCTTTTTATTTATTATATTTATCAGTAAATCTAATTTTATATTACTTATTAATTTTTTTTAATAATTTATTTCACACACATAAATGCCCCAAACGCACAAAAATTTTCTGTTTTATATATGTGATTAATAAGAAATATTATCTATAATGCTTACGCAGATAAAGATATGAATTATTTTGGAATAATTCCATTATAAAAGTTTACATTATCGAGCAGAAAATTAATATAAAATAAAAAGAAAAAAAAAAGAATCTATTAGAGATTTTTTTATTTTTATTCTTAATGCTTTGTTTTTTTTTTTTTTTTTAAAAGATTTTATTTTCATTTGTTTAAAAAAATATTTTTACTCCACAATTTCAAAGAATAAAATAATGAAAAAAAAAAAAATTACACTTAAAGGGAATTATAGTGCACTATAATGAATACTATAAAGCATAATATAAAAACACTGTAAAAATACCGACAGAAAAGAAATAGTTAAAAATAAAGATAAATAATTAAATTGAAAAACCCTTGTAAATGCAAGATAACTAGAAGATAAGGTAAAATGTTAATTTTTTTTGGAATTTTTATTTCACATTTTCTAAATTTAGACAAAAAAAAAAAAAAAAAAAAAAACATATGATTTTTTCATTCTTTAATATTTGTAAAACATAATTGGGAACATTAAACAAAAATTGGTACATATATATAAATATATATATATATATTTATAAATTTATGAATTATTTTTTTTTTTTTTTTTTTGTGTTCAATGTGAAACTGTAGAATTATTTTTTATGAATTAATATAAATCCTAATACATTATTATTGGTAATGAATTTCTACATATTTTTCCTTCATACATGTTATTTACAAATGAAAAAATACTTATAGAAATTTAAAAAGAAAATTATTAAAAGAAAAATAGTAAAAAAAAAGAAAAACCACATAATCATTTATATAAATATAATTTAAAATTTTACTAGCAATATTGAAAATTTTATTTAAACGGCATTTTATTTAATTTTCTTTTCTATATGTCTCTTAACAATTAACGTTTATAAACACCAACTTTAATATTGACTACTTAAGTATCTTATTAAAAGTAAAAATATTTTTTTTACTCTATAAGAGATATTTCTTTATATAAATATTAATAAAATTTTCTAAAATATGTAAACAAATTAATAAGAAATTTTATTAAAATTAAATAGAGAACTTTTATTGTCTCCTTTATAAATTAGTATTTTTGATTATTAAACTCCTTTCCTATATAATATATCATTAAATATTTCTATGTACATTTTATATGGATAAAACAAAATAAAATTATTTAATGGTTACTAATTAAATTTTATTAGTATTTAATAAATTGATATGATAATCATTTAGCCCATATAGTCATATTGTGTCTTAAAGTGAAATAAATAATTATAAATTACTCTCCATATATATATATATAATAACTTACATATATGTAATTATAATGTACAAAAATATAATTAATTTGATAACCTATTTAATTTTAAAAAAGAATGTGCATTTTAAAATGTATTTCAGTTTTCTACAATAAAAAAGAATATGATGATTTATTCTTAAAGAGTAGATCTTCATTAAAATATTATAATTGAAAAATAAGTATTTTAGTAATTTTAATTTCTAAATATTATAAAATAAGGAGTGTAAAAACAATTATTAAAAGTAAGGCATATTACTTTTTTTTAATATATTGTTTACATTAAAAGTATGCAAAGGTCTCAAAAATTATAAATTAGTATAAGAATCTAAAAAAAATATAAATATATAATTAAATATTAAACAAAAAAAAAAAAAAAAAAAAAAAAAAAAAAAAAAAAATGCAAATTAAAGGGTTGCATGAGTTATATAATGCTTCAGGCACTGAACTGCACATATAAGTACACATAAATATATATATAAATATATATATATATATATAAGTTGATTCAATGAACATATATAACAACGACTGCACATCTATCTTTAGTGGATTGAAAATTTTTCATATAAAATTTGTGAATTTTTTAAATCATAGAACTTGAAAAATATAGAGCTTGATATATCGAAAATACCATTTATTCAAAAACAAAATTGTTAATTCTGAGATTTTTTCAACTATAAGATCCATCAAAATGCCTGAAGTAAGAAAAAAAAAAAAAATATATGAGGTATTTTTTAAAGTTTTTATCTTTATATATTTGTATATATATTTTAAACTACATTAAGGAAGACGAGAAAAAATTGAAGCCAGCAAATGTTGAGGCAAAAACTTCCAATAAATTTCTAAATGTAAAACCCAAAACTCCATATGGTAATAAATTATTTATATATTTATTTTTTTTTTTTATTTCTTAAATTTTTAATTGTTTATAGTTACATTTTAATCATAAATACCAATAATTATTTCAGGGACAAATCAATTGTTATATATATCCTTATCTGAAAATCTTAAAGATAAATACAACACTAGAGATAAATATATAACAAAAGAAGAGGTACAATTAAATTTAAAGGGAAAAAGTTTAATTTTTTTTTTATTAATATAAAATGTTACAGACTTATTAGGATTATTTTATTTTGTATCCATATTTTTTCTATAATTTATTCTTTTCTTATATTTAATCCATTTTAATATTAATATAACATTAAAAATGTATCTTATTTTTAAACATTTTCTTATATTTACTTAATAAATCAACTTCACAGGTAGCAAAGCACAATAAAGAAGACGACGCATGGATAATATATAAAAACAAGGTGTATGATATAACTCTATATCTGAAATATCATCCTGGAGGTAAATGAAATATTTGAAGAAAGAATAATAGAAAATGTTATTTGACATTATATTTCATATGATGTATAATAACTTAATTCAATAAGAAAAATGATATAAAATAAATAATTCCTTTTTTTTTTTTTTTATTCTTGTTTAATAATTTACAATTTTTATGATAGGAAAAAAAATTTTATTAAATCAATCAGGAAAGGATATTACTGAATTTGTTCTAAAATTTCATCCATGGGTTAATGTTGAGGAAATTTTAAAACATACACTTATTGGTATAAAATTTTTTTTTTATAACAAAAAAAATATAAGAAAATATAAGAAAAAAAGAAGGAAAAAAAAAATTTATTATTTAACTAAAAAATTTTATTTTGTTAAGAAAACACAATTACTTATATTTATCTTAATTATATAAAATGTATGCATTAAAATATTTGGTTTTCTTCCTTTATAATAATTGAATCACCATTAAAATGATTTTTTTTTTTTTTTTACTTCTATTCAATATTATGTTATGTTTCATTTTAGATTTTCATTAACTCCATTATTATGTATACTATTATTATATTTTTTTAGGATATATAGAATGTTAAGTAATTAAGCTCATATATATGTATTTGTAGATAAGTAGGTATAAAAAAATAAAGTTGAATTATTTTATATTTTTTTCTTGCTTATATAATAAATCAAGTATGTATTTATATTTTGAAACTTTGTTATCTTTTGTTGCAGTTACTGTTACATAAGAGTTTCTATTACCAGGAATGCATCCACTTACTAATATTTCATTCCTTTCTAAATTCAAACCTAATAATTTTAAATTAATCATAGTCCTAAATTTATTTCCATCTTTTCCTGGCATTTTCTTACCTTTTAAAACTCTTCCAATATGAGTAGATGCGCCAATTGAACCTGGTTTACGATGATGTGAACTTCCATGTGTCATAGGACCCCTAAATTTTAAAAAAAAAAAATAAAAATAATAAAATAGAAATACATTATATTTCTATGTTTATTAGAATATATTATTATTATTTATGGTTATGTATTTATTTACTAAAATATAGAATAATTGCTTTAAATTAAAACTTTCATAATTATTTAAAAATTATTTTATTTTTATGAATTAAAAATACTAATATTTATATAAATAGTAGATTATTAATATAAAGTATATATATATGTAGGTATATATTAAAACATTACATTATTAGTATAAATTAAAGAATTTTCATGTATTAAAACATTACATAATTATTATAAATAATAATATTTATGGTAATTTAAATATTTAATTACTAATATAAATTCAAATTAAGATTGGATAATTCTTTAAGATACATAAATATATATATTTCAAATAAATGATTTTAAATTATATTACTCAAATAAAACAATTTTTTTTACACTTTTTATTTATATAGTTTACAATTGTATTATTTACTAGATATTAATAACAAATTAATTTTATACTTTTTTAATATATTACCTACGGAATCCCCATCTCTTAATTACTCCACAAAATCCTTTTCCTTTTGTCAATCCTCTAACATTTACATATTTATAATTATATAAATATGAAACATCTATTATTTGACCTAGGACAAAATTTTGTGGAGGAGTTAATATTAAGCTACAAGTGTTTTTAAAATTACAACCTACTTTTGAGATTTGACCTAATTCAGGTTTTAAAATCCATCTACTTTCATCTAATGGTTTACCATATGCTATAGCAGCTTTTCCAAAATCTAAAAACCTATATATTACATTCGGCATTATTTCAATTAAAGTAGCTGGTATTAATTTCCCATTAGGTGAAAATATTGAACGCATCTCTATTTTTTTCCCTTTTATTTGTATCTACATTAGTTTTAATATATTTTATTTATATAGAAATTTACTCAAATAATATATATATTTAAATAGTTTTAGAATATATTTTTTTTTTTTTTTTTTTTTTTACTCTGTCTAATTCATCTTTGTATGGAATATCCTTTAAATGATCTTGTGGGTCAAATGGATCTCTACCAATAACTACTTTTTTTATCATATTAATTTGAAAGTTTCTTTTACTTTTAATCTATATTTATTATAAAAATATATGTAATTATCTTATATTTTTAAAAATTACAAAAAAGGAATATAAATTCTGTTTTTTTAAATAAAAAAAAAAAAAAAAAATTGTTTCTATTACATTTTTTGCTTTAAGTAACCCATTGTAATACCTTAGATGATTTCCATTTCTATCAGATAAATCTATAAATTTAAAAAGAAAAAATGTAATTATTGTAAATAATTAAAAAAGTTTGAAATAATAAAAATAACAAAAATTATGTATGAAAAATTTGTTATTACTTTTTTCAGAACAATTTAAATCACTTAAAATTTTAAAGTTAAATGAGATTTGAAAAAATATGGAAATAATTAAAATTGCATATATGAAATAACAATGCATTATATATTTCCATTTCTTCATAATTTTATTATTTGGTTGTACAAAATATTTTGTATACTTATGAAGAATTTATACACAGAGGTTTTTTCATGACGTAAACATTTTTTCTTTAATTAAAATAACAAAAATGTATAATAATCGTATAAAAAAATAATATATATACGCAATACATATATATATATTTTTCTTCCCAATAAATTAAAAACTAAAAAATTGAGAATTTAATGTATTATATATATATATATAAAAAAAAAAAAAAAAAAAAAAAAAAAAGAATTAAATTATATCTTATAGATTCGTAATAATTTATATGTTAAAATACTAAATTAATTTTATGAATATGTTAACAATCCAAATTTAATAAAACAATAATAATAAATAAAAATATTTAATTTTTGAAACGTTTTAAAATGGAAAAGTTTTATTAAAAAAAAGTAGAATTACATGTTTATAAGAGAAAAATATTTTTGCTTTTTGTATCTTAGTATTTTTAGTTTTATGTAAACATTCATGAAAAATACAATTTCAATGAAATGAATCATATTTAAAATTTTTTATATTCCTATTTAAGAAAAATACTAGGAAAGAATTTTAAATTTTCTAAAGAATTTTTTTTTTTTTCCATAACAAAACTTTATAATAAAAAATAATGAATAAAATAGTTAAAATCTTAAAGAAAAAAAAAAATGAAAATTTTTTTGAAGCTATACAAAAATGAGACAAAGAAAGATACAATATAAAGTCAAAATGAATTCATTTTTGGTTATAAAAAAAAAAAATAAATAATTAAAACTTATATTAACTCATTAAATGAAAAAGTATAAATAGAAATAATTTTAATTTACGTTTAGATAAAAAAAAAAAAAATAAATCTTTAGTTAGTGAAATCAAAATATAAAAGAAAAAAAAAGATAATATAATATAATGATTTATTTAAAAAAGAAATAAAATCGTAGAAAAAAAAAAAATTTGAATTTAAAAAAATTGATTTATAATTTATATTTTAATTTAAAAAAAAAAAAAAAAAAATACTTTTTTATGTAAAGTACTTAACATATTAATAATTGTTTTTATTGCAACGATGAAGCATTTAACTTTTCTGCAATTAAAAATTGCAAATTAGCTAGATTAGATAAATAAGAAATCATTAAATTATCTTGTAAAATATTTTCATTTAATGAATCAAATTTTTCTAGTGATAGGAACGTATCATTTGATAAAACTTTATGTAAATATCTACCAACACTTAAATTTCCTTTTTTTTTTTTGTCTATAACATCCTGAACATAAGATTTACACTGTTTTAACATAATTAATAATTTTTTTAAGGAAATTTCGTTCATTTCATTTGTTATAATTTCAGCATTATTAGCATTATTATTATTATCTTTATCTTTGTTTACGGTTAATTTTTCTTTATATGGTAAAACTTCAGCTCTTTCTACATTACAAGGTAATAATTCCGTTTGAATTTCATGAAAATGAACAAAATATTCTTTAACTAAGGAGATAGGTAATTGTACAAAGGCTTTAATATTTAAAAAACCACTTTCTAATGCAGCATCAACTAATAAATGTATAGGTTCATTTAAGGGGGAATGAGGATAAAATTTTGAAATTGAATTGTGTTCTTTAAACCAACCATGAACAGCACATGATAATTCTGACAATTCAGAACCTGAACAAAACCATCCAACCACTTGATCTCTTGGACGGATTTTTTGTTTTAATTCATACATTGTTTCATGATGATCTTTAATAATTTGCAAAAATCCCTAAGAAAATTTAGATTGAATAATATATATATATGTATATATATTAAAATTATATATATTTTGTATATATATATTTATATAATTAATATATACCCCTTCATTTAACGAATGTTTATCAACAAAGCAATCTGAAATTTCAATTAAATTAGTATCAATAACTGATCCCATTAAAGTTCCAATAACATGAGTTTGATCTTCATCTCTTCTTAAATACGCATCTAATATGGTAAATATAACGGAAGGATGAATAACACATTTAATACTTGTATGTGGTAATATATCAAAATGCTGTGGTATTTTATCCTTAAATAAACCACTTAATGTTTTAAAGTTATAACGATTCAAACTCATTTTTTTTTCTTTTTATTTCAGAATATATTAGTATATATATATATTTAACAGTATTATATATATACTAACAATTTTTATTTTAAATAAATAAAAAAAGAAAAATGTTATTATATAATAAATTTATATATAAAATAAAATTTTATTTTTACAAGATTAAAAAAAAAAAAAAAAAAATTAAATATTTTACAAAATTATACTTTTTTTATTAACATATCTTCAAAAAAATTAAAGAATAATTAAAAGTAAAGAAGTTATAAAAAAAAAAATAAATAAATAAATAACGTATATATTTACAATTTTGTTTATGTATACAAATGTATAAAAAAAAAAAAAATTATAAAAAAAAAAATTATCTATATATTGCTTTGTAAACATAGGTTAACATTTGTTATAATTTAAAAAAAAAATAATTCTGTTTTATTGTACTTAAGAACATGATATCAATATTAAAAAAAATTTTTTTTTTTATATTTTTTTTATTATAAAAAATAAATTATCTAGTTGTATTTTTATTTTGCTAAATTTTTTATTTTTTTCAAAGTTAAAGTATAAAGAAAATTTTATATCTACCACGCTTAATTTTATTAATGAATAATTGAAGTATATATAATATCAATAAAATGTATTATACATATATACACCAATAAATAATATTAAATGTATATATATATATATATACTTATAATATATGTAATTATATAGATTTACATAAATGAATATAAGAATAAGTACAAATAAGTGTAAAAATATGAAGGTTAAGAAAAGTTTACTTCAAGTAAAATTTCAATTTTAAAAACTTTTACTCAAACCAAAAAAAAAAAAAAAAAAAAAAAAAAAAAAAAGTGTTCTTGTTTTATAAATATCTATTTTTTATAATATATATTACTTTTTAAATATGCAGAATAAAAGAATTAAAACAATCATTCTATTATTTTTATTTAAAAATAATTTTCATTTTACTCAAATTAAGCATATTTTCTTAAAATTTAAATATGGAAATCCGTATAATGGAGTTTTTAATTCAACAGCTTTTATTATTGTTATCATATTATTATTTCTTTTGTATTGTTTACTTTTTTAAAATATAGCCCTTACTCAGAAAAATTAATTTAAAAAGTAATAATGTAAAATACTTTATTCTAATTCTCTGTTCCTTTCAATTTACAATTACATCTGTCTATTTCTTAAAAAAAAAAAAAACGTACAAACGAAAAAAAAAAAAAAAATAAAATAAAATTCTAATATAATGAATTAATTTAATAAATATAATTTATAATATATTTTAAATTACTGATTAAAATATATATTATTTTTATTTTTTTTTAATAAAATATAGAACCGTGTATCTATTAAAAATATGGAAATAGTTATAGAGAAAAAATTTAATTACATTAGTAATTTTATTATATTTCTTCTTAATATTTTTTTAAATAAAAAAAATATCATGTAGTTTTTTTCTTTGGTGATCTTTTAGTTTTTTTTCAATTTTTTTTTTTTTTTTTATTTTTTTGTTATTAAAAAAAATTATACATTTTAAAGATCCTTCAATATGAAAAGTTTTTGTTAAACATATAAGGATGATAGTTATAATATTCATTATATTATTATTTGAAATAATATTAATAAATAATGATAATACTTATAGTACCATTGATAAAACAAACCTGAATTCTAACAGTTCTAGCGTGTCTATATCAAATGATAAAAATTATGAATACCTTGTTAATACATCTGAAAGAAATAATAGAATAATTTGTGTGAAAAAGGAATATAATGATTTAATTTATTATGTATATGATAACCAATGTGATCCACAAAATACTTTTACCTTTTCTTTTAATTCAACATTTAAATTTGATGAGGATTTTTATTTATCCTATAAAAAAAATAAAGAATCTTTTATAAAAACAAAAATAACACCCAATTTAGCTATAGGGTCGTGCATAAGTTGTTTTTTTCTTGATGAAATGAATTTACTTAGCATATATGGATATACATTTATTTATAAAAACTCTAGTGAAACTGAATATAAAAACTATTATAAAAATATTATTGATATTAACTATAATTTAGAGAAAACTAATAATTCATTATATGAAATATCAGATAGCAAAGAATTGAAAAATAGTGATACTGTAATATCACAACACAATAATATATTAAAAGACAACAATGAAGATATAAAAAGTTGGGTGTATGAAGAATCAAATTCACAATGGAATACAAATGCAGAAGATACAGCATTATTATATAGTAATGAAAATTTAATATTACAAAAATTTTTAAAAGAAAATAGAATACATTATGCTTATGATGAAATAGGAAAAAGTAAGTTGTACAACACATTTAGTGATAATATGGGTTCTCAAAATAAAAATTCCTTAAATGAGAAAATGATGGATGATTTTTTTATACATTTAAAAGAAAGAGAAAATAATTATAATAAAAATAATCTTACTTTATTTGATGATAAGAATGTTTTTGATTTGAAAAAATTAAAAAACATAATTTTTAATAACGAGGAATGCAAATTTTTAAAAGAAGATATAAATAAAAAAAAAATATGGTCTAACATAATTTTTGCTAGCTCTTTTACTAATTTAAAAGTATTATCTCATATAAATAACTATAGTGGAACATATGAAGAATTTAGGCATTTCTCATTTGATGAAGATTACAAAAAAAGAAAAATAAATGATTTCATATCGATAACCTTAGATTTAAATAACAAAGAATATTTGAATAACAATAATATATTTATTTTAATAGCTAACGATGAGATTAAATTTCTAAATAAATTGAATTTCTGTTCAAATATTTTAAGTAATGATCCTTCTGTTGCATATATAAAAAACTTAAATGTAATAACTGAATATAAAGATGTAAAAAATAAATATATATCAACAAATGCAGATAATATAGTATTCTTGATAAAAGTTTTATATTATAATAATGATATACATTTATTTCTAATTGATGACATTAGAGGTTTTGGTAATCCTATGAAATTAAGTGTTCCTTTTTTTTTCTTAATTTCTCATTCATATTTTTCAGAGTTTACGCATTTTTTCTTAAAAGACAATATAATTGGATGGATTAAAAGGAATAAAATACTATATGTCAAAACTATGAATAAAATCTTTACATACCTTAAAGAGTAATAAAAATAAAAGAAAATTTTTTTTAAAAAGATAAATATTTATACATTTTTTTGTAATTTTATTTTACATAATGTTATTACTTTAAATTATATATTTATGAATACTCTATTTAAATTATACATTTAGATATGAAGTATTTCATTCGTATATACATTCAATTCCTATTATAATTATTAATACGCCACATTCATATAAAATATATATTTATTAATATAAATGATTATTTTTAAAAAAATATTTTCTTCTCTTTTTTTAAAATAGGAGTACTATTTATTCTAATAAAACATATGATGTTATAACCATAGAAAACAAGATGGTTTCTAATATATACCTACTATACTTAAGTCATCACATTTTTAAATATATAATATTTGCAAGATACAACCCTTTAAAAAATTATAGTTTACATAAAAATATAAATTTTGAAGCAGTTCTTCTAAATATGATAAGTAATTTTACAAATGAAGAATTAGCGAATTATAAAATTTATTTTGAAAAAGTTACAAAAAAAGAAATTACAAATTTAACGGATAAAAAGAAAATACAAAGAATGGATGTATTTGATATATTTGTAATACCATCAGTTAATTATGTAAAATTTCAAAATGTTTTGTCGAAATTATTCAAGGCATTATTTGATTGTGGAGGTAGGCATATTTCTAAGTTACTAAAAATTGTAATTTTAAGGTCACATTATGATATGTTGTATAATTTTAATTGCTATAACTATCAGTTGTATAGCTTTTTAATTAATTTTTTAGATTTACATGAATACTTTTATGAGTATACTGATCTGAATGACTTATTTAAAGAAAGTCAAAAAATTTTAATAGAATTAGTAAAAAAAAAAAAAAAAAAAAAAGAGAATAGTAAAAATAAAAAAAAAAGTTTTTTAAACATATAAATTATAAAAAAAAAATATATATTGTTTAATTTTCATTATCTTTAGCTTTTGTTCTCAATTTTATAATAAGTATTATTTTTATGTTAACAAATTTATCTTTCGATATGTTTATGACTTATTCTTTTTAATATTTTTATAAAATGAAAACACTCTTTAAAAAATATTTCATTTTGTCTCTTTTTTTTTTTTTTTTTTTTTTTTTTATAAATCATAATGTAGGTTAAATTAGTACTTGAGGAAATGAATAATTTGATTCCTTTCAATGAGGACAAAAATTTAATTAAATATCTTATTATTATTCTTTATTTTGGAAATGATGTAATAAACAAAATTAATAATTATTACTTCATTAGTTATATTTAGTATAAAATACATTAAATTAAAAATACATATATATAACTATTAAAAAAAATATAGGTACAAAGATATATATATATTTTTTTTTTTTTTTAGATGTTTTGCTTAGATAAAGAAAATTCAATTTATATACAACTTATTTATGAATTACGTCATTTAAATGTATTTCATGCTATAATATTAGCATATCTATCTGGAGATAAACTTGGTACTTTATGTATGAGAAAAAATGAAATAGAAGCAAGTAAAAGCTTAGAAATTGATAGCAAATTTAATTATGATGTCTATGATGATGATAATATTTATTTAAAATATGGATGCCCACGTAAGTGTGACATTAATGATTATTCTTCTATATTTTTAAAAAAATTTCAAAAAAAATATTTTGGTGATTTTCATGTGGCAATAAGATCAGCTAATGAATATACGTTAGGAATAATTTTGGTTTCCTTTATGGCATCCGTAGTTTTTATAGTGGGTGAATTGGATAAAGAACTAAAGAGAATTTATGTTTATAGAATTTTTAAAAATATATTCATAAAAAATTATGTTTATAACATAACAAAGTATTATACATTCTGGAATGGTAAACTTTACGCTTTTGAACAATATGAACCAGAATGTATCCTGTTATTTAATAAATATAATTTATATGAAAAATATTACTTCTCCAATATTATTGGTGATTCTTTAAAAGTTTATAATTTGCATAATTTAAAAAATTATAAAGTGAGCATGTTAAGAATATGCAGTGGAAATAGAAACTTAAATAATAATGATGACCTAATTAATTATTTTTCTGTAAAACGTGATGCATGTTTATGTGATAAAAACATGATAAATCAACCTAAGAGTGACTTTGTTGTAAGTGAATATTTACAGTTAAGATATAATTTTATGAAAAAAATGAAAAGAAGAAATCATGAATTATACGAAAAAATGTTAAACTATAATTTTTTTAATGATCCTTTGAATATATCATATAAAACAAAAAATTTTCAAAATGAAAAAATGATCAATATTTGTAAGGACATAAAATTTGAAAAGAATCATTTATGTCTATTTCATAAATCTAGAATAATATTAACTTATTTATATTTATTATCTTCTTCGCCTGATTTAATTTTTTATGTGGTTAGTCCTCTTATATATATAAAGCCTCACAAGCATTGTGACGCTTACGATATTCCATTAATTCTAAATAATATGCTTAAAAATAGAAATTTCTATAAGAAAAGTGCAAAAATATGTATAAATTATGCTTTTGCTCATTTTATATCTGTTCGAGATAAAATCAGTAATTTAGTAATTACTGCTAAAATAAGTGGAACGATGGTTAATGTTAGTAAAAGAAATTTATTATTACTTTTACCTTTAAGCAAAAGAGTAGATATATTAGACTACTCAAAAAATAATGAATATGATATAAAAGAAGAAATACTAAATGAATATTTTATATTAGGAAATCCTTATACTCCAATTAATATTATTTCATATAGATTTCAGGATTATGATGAAGTAAAAAAAAATTCTCATGTCACAATTTCTGGTGCCTTTATAAAACAATATGATGAAAAATATGTTACATATAAGAGCATAACAAGAAAATATAACAAAAAACTTCAGTGTACTGAAAATCATGCGTTTGAAATTAATGGAAGAGTTTTATGTTTTTGTAATATATTATCAAATGACATTAGCAATAATTGTTTGTATCCATTTTGCGAACAAAGTAAAAAATTTTGTTATGAAAATGAAGAATGTATAGATGGAAAATGTGTATGTGTTGATGGATATTCAAGAAATCCAATGAGTTACTTATGCGAAAAAAATAATGAATGTATGTTACAAGGAGAAGATACTTGTGAAGATCCTGGATATTGTGTACTTGCAAAAAACAGATATATATGTTTATGTCCTTTTCCATATGTTAGGGTTTTAAAAACTTGTCTACATCCTTTAAAAGGAATAAAAATAGGCTTATATGTTTTTAACAATTTTGAAAATGAATTTTCAAATGATGAAGATGATGCTCCAAAAAAAGAAAAATTTTATACAAATGTTTTTGGATCAATGTCTGAATATATTAAAGCTGCTATTAATTATGTAAATAAGAAAAAGAAAATATTTATATAAGAGTTTAAAATAAATCTTCGTATAAAAATACAAATAGTTTTAAACATTATTTATGGTTTTTTTTTTTTTTTTTTTTTTTTTTTTTTTTTTTTGTTAGATTATAGAACCTGATTTAAAATCAAGAATTTATGTTCAACCTATAAAAAAGATGAAAAATGGAATAAAAGCAACTATAATCATATATCAAAGAGTTCATCCCAATGAACCTACACCAATTGAAATATTTAATAATTTTTTAAATCAATTATCTGATTCCACTTCTGCCTTAAATAATGGATTTTATTCATATTTTGCTCGCTTCACATATATAGAATATGTAGTACCCTTTTCTAAAAATGAGGGACTTTCACCTTTTAATCAAAATTTAATAAAATACATACCAAGTCTTTTTATAAAAATTTTGGAAATTGATATGTTTAATGACATATCAATTATTGCGTGTTTTAATTTTATTATTTTAATCGTTGTTACCCTACTACTCCTTTTATATTTTTTATATTTGTTTATCAAAATAAAATTTTTTCAAAATGAAAGAGTAAAAGCATTTTGAGTTATTAAAAAATAAAAAGTAAAATAAATTTAATATTGATTGTATTTATTTTTTGTTATAACAATTTAATATATATTTACATTAGTACTTTATTTTATGCTTTTTTGAATGATTTCATTATATGATAAATATCATAAAAAGAGGATAATACATTTTTTAATAACTTCTTAATTTATAATTTTGTTTAAAATTTTATTAAATATATTATTTAACTATGCTCGTTTAATGCTAATATACTCACAAAAAAAAGAAAAGTTAATTTTTCTAATAAAAGTTTGACGTTTATACTTATAATATTTTGTCTTATATTTCTTTATATAAATATTTTTACTTTCAAAATGGATTTTATAATATTCGTGAGTAAAAATTTTCCTATAAAAATTTGTATTTTGATTATTCTTTTGATAAAAGATATCAAAATTATAATACATAATCCACGTTGTTTTTCAATGAAATATCTTTTTATAGTAAAAAGATTTTTCATATATTAAAACATAATTAATTCATTATTATATTTTTTTTTTTTTTTTTTTTTTTTTTTATTTCTTAAAAAAATAGAACACACTGAAGTACATATTTTTTAAAATGATTGTAAATTTATTAATACGCATTAATCATGATTTAAATGTACAAGATTCACATAATTTTATTCTAAATATTTTAAACAAATTAGTGAATTTTTATAGCTCGTTTTCACAAAAAATTTTCCTCAATATTTTTAATTAATTACAGAACATATATTTATGTAAATAAAAAGTAATGTATATTTTTATCATAAAGAATTTTATATCAGAGAAAATGGTTTTTATAGAGTCGAAATTTATGAAGTTATTATATTGCAATTTATATAATAGTAATATAAAATACAATAAATAAAGCTTGAGGTAAAAATAAAAAAAGTAAAATATATATTTATGTGAATTCTGTTTATATTTTGAGAATGAACTTATGTTACATAATAAATATTACAACTTGGATAATTGAAAGAAAAATATAATTTTTTTTGTTAAAAAGAGAAGTTTTACACAGGTATCATTTATCATACATGAGCATACGTAAAAAAAAATTTAATGTAAATAACATTCACTCTTAAAAATTAAAAATAAAAATAATTCTCAATGAAAATAATTAAAATTAAAATATTTATGTATGTATGTAATTACATATATGAATATACATAAATATATTTTTAAATCATGAATATATATATATATATAAAAATATTTTTTTTCAAACATGCATGCAAAAATACTCAATTGAGGATAATTTTATACGAATTTTGGCCCCATTAAAAATTAAAAAAAAATAATAATTTTTAATTTTAAAAATATATATTTTTTTTTTATTTATTTATTTATTTATTTATTTATTCATTTATTTATTTTATTTTATTTTATTATATTTTTTTTTTTTTTTTTTTAAATATATATATATTTTTTTTTACATTTAAAAGATTTATTTTATGATGAAAAATTTTCTTATGTATCATTGTTTTTTATTATATTATTTTTGCTTTATTGTATGTAATTTTTTTTTTAAATTTACATTATTTTTTTTTTTTTTTCATATTTCATTATTTTGATTTACTTTACAAAAAAAATTTTTTTTTTGGGATTTTTGTTTTTATCCTAGGATGTAGTTCTATTTTTCCTAAATTTTTTTTTGGAAAAGTATTCTTTATAGAATACATCAAAAAAAAAGAAAAAAAAAAAAGTGATCATGGAAATCCTAAACAAGCATGGGAAGAGATTCTCACCCTGAACCCATTTAATAGCTGATTGTCTGCTCATTAGTACCTGGATAATTACGATAATAAAAAAATTAGGGGAAAAAAGACAATAGCGTATGGTTTGCTTCTCTAATTTTTTTGTAGTAATTAGACATGAACGTGAGGTCGTATATTGGATTGGAGCGGAAGTTAGCATCAGCGCTATCAATTTAAGCTCATTACCTTTCTGTATATGTAAAAAAAAATATAGGAAGTTTGTATTCTTTTTGTATTTTTTTTTACAAATACAGCAGAAAGATCCATATACTTCAATCAGTCTACCTAATGTTGCGCTATTTTATCTCTCAAGTCGGCCAGGAGATAGAGGTGTATCTTTTTCATAAATTTTTCAAATGTTTTTCTCTAAATTATATATTCATGTATAACAATGTATGAGTAAATTTAAAGGAAAACATATGAAAAATTGAATGAAAGGGAACACACACGGAGAATTAATACATTACGCATAAGTAATGTATTTTTTCGAAGTAAGAAAGAAAACTATAATTTATATATTACAGTTTTCTTTTTAAGATGGCTGGGATCTATCGACATTTTTTATAAAAGTTATATTAAAAAGTAACTGTTAATAAAAAATGTGTTAGTTTCATGCTGCAGTTAACTCTGCGTGAATACAATAACAGGTTGTTTCATTCCATGCATGAATGCGATAGATACAAAAGGCTAAGATACTTTTTTATTTTGAAAAGTTATCGAGATTCGTTCTGCCTCAAAAAAAATTCTAAAAAAAATTTCTTTTAGAATAATTGCACATTTAAAAATGGGTAGAAGGGTATAGAAGAAAAAGGAGTTAAAATTTTATTTATTTTTTAAAATAAATAAAAAATTAACTTTTATTTTTCCTTATGTTTGCTTAAAAGGTTTTTACCATGATATTAGAAACTAACTTATTCCTTATTTATTTTTAAATATAAATAAAGATTTGTTCTTATATTATTCTATAAAATAAATAAGAATATATTTCTTTATTTATTCTAAGAAATAAAGATTTATTTCTTTATTTATATTAGAAAATAAATAAGAATATATTTCTTTATTTATTCTAAGAAATAAAGATATTTCTTTATATTAGAAAGTAAAGATGTTCCTTATTTATTTTAGAAAATAAAGAATTATTTCTTTGTCTATATTAGAAAATAAATAAGGAAAAGTCTCCTTATTTATTATAGAATTTAATTAAAGAGATAATCATCTTTTTTTATATTCTTTTTAATAACTCTTAGAAAAACGTGGAAGTTTTTTAATGTGATTTAGATTTTATATGTAGTATAATTAAAAAAAAATAAGACGTAAAATTTCTTTTTGTAATTTTTTTTTTTAATTTCAAGTAACACTTTATATTGAATTTTTATCATCAAGGAAATTATACTTATAGGTACATTATATAATTGTAATAATGCCCGGATGGTACCTATTCATATACGGAGAATATATTTTTACAGCTTTAACCTACCTATTATGGATTTTATTTTTTATTATTTTTTATTCATGTTTTCTGTTTTTACTTTTTTTTTTTTTTTTTTTTTTTTTTTTTTGTTAGTATTCTATTTTGTCCCTGCTACATGTTCGTTTTTTACTTTTTTAGCATTTAACACGTTTAAAATAACTTTTAGGTATATTTTTTAAAGGAATTTTGAGGTATTCATATATCTTTTTATTATATAGAAAAATATACTTTTTCTATTGTTTTTTTTTTTTTTTTTTTGTGCTATTAACACATATTTTATTTTCAAAGCAAATTTGTTATATTTGAAAGTTTTTTGAACAAAATTTAAAAAATTAGAACTTTAAGAGGAATTTATGTAGTTAGTACTACTTAAAAAAGATATTTAAGTTTTTTTAGAAAAACAAAAGTTAGAATTAATTTTTTCTTTTTTTAGACACTATCAATTCAACATTATTGTGTAAAAATAGTTGTCTAATAACTTAAAAGTCATTTTTAATTTTTTTTCATTTGTAATTCATAACTGAAAATATATAAACGTGGTTAATTAGGAAAAAAAGAAAAAATTATTGTATTATTAAGAATTATTTTTTCTTGAATAAATTTTTTCTAAATTTAAAAAAAGAAAAAATATACATTTATACATACTAATTTATAGTGTTAAAAGGATCATGCAAGTTTTTTTTTTTTTTTTTTTTTTTTTTTGGCTCTGATAAAAAAAAATCTATAAAACTATCGAGTTTTATTTAAATGGTAAATTAATTTTTTTTAATTAAATATAATATGTTATAAAAATTCTTTTTTTATTCATTGAAATAATATATTTAAATTTTTTATTTTTCTTTTTATATTAATTTTGAAAAATAAACTTGAAATATACATATAATGAGAGATACATCTTTTATTTTTTTTTTATACTTCGTTAAAAATTTTGAAATATCATGTTAAAATAAAATGATTGAATTTTAAAAATTTTTAAATTAATTTAATAACTTGAAAAAAGTTAACTTTATTAAACTTTAAAAGATACTCAACAGTATCGCAAATACAATGGCAGAAATAAATGTGGAAACCAGTAAAAATGAAAACTGTATATCATGTAATAACTTGCTGGATTTATATAAAAATAAATATTCAAGAATAAATATAGAAAAAGCTAAATGTATATTAAAAGAACAATTTTCTTTTACAGAATTTAAACCAAAACAAGTAGAATGCTTAAATGCAATTAAAAGTTTTCAACATGTTTTAAACATAATGCCAACAGGAGGTGGAAAATCTTTAATATATCAAATTATTCCACTGATTATTGAAGGCATAAGTATTGTTATAAGCCCTTTAATATCTTTAATTCAAGATCAAATTAAATCTTTAAAAAAAAAAAATATTGTGGCAAAAACAATTAATAGTTCACTAAACAAAAAAGAAAATGAAAATATATTAACTCTTTTAAAAAATTATGACACAAATGAAATAAAATTATTATATATTACTCCTGAAACTGCAACAAGTGAATATTTTATTTCATTGTTAGAAGAACTTTATTTAAATCAAAGGATTTCTTTAATCTCCATTGATGAAGTTCACTGTATTAGCACTTGGGGATGTGATTTCAGAAAATGTTATAGAAATTTAAATAAATTACTAAAAATATGCCCATTTGTTAGGATTTACAGTTGTACTGCTACGGCAACAAAATATGTGGAAAGGGATATTATACTTAATTTAAATTTAAATAATGAAGAAAATAACAGTCTCAGAATTATTAGAACTTCATTTAATAGGCCTAATTTAAAATATGTTATTATATATAGCGATTTATTAAAAACGGAAAAAAAAAAAAATGTTTGTGACATTATTAAAGAAAAAAGAAACATTAACAAAATTGGAATTATATATTGTTTTAAAAGAAGTACATGTGACGAAATTTCAAAATACTTAAGAGAAAAAGGATTGCAAGCATTAAGTTATCATGCCGGTTTAACAAATAATACAAGAAAAAGAACTCAAGAGAAATGGTTAAATGGTAAAGTTAATATTTTAGTCGCAACAATAGCTTTTGGTATGGGAATAGACAGAAAAGATGTCTCTTTTATTATTCATTTTAATTTACCTAAATCTATAGAAAATTATTATCAAGAATCAGGTAGATCTGGAAGAAATGGAAATATATCCTTCTGTTATTTGTATTACTCTAAAGAAGATGTAGAAAACTTAGCTTACATAATAAAAAAAAGTTATGGAGATTTAGATATGCTAAATGTTGATATAGAAAAAAAATTTGAAAAAGAAATGTATAACTTAGAGTGTGTTCATAATTTGTGTATAAATGAAAAATGTATAAGGTCTCAGATTCTAAATCACTTTGGAGAAAATTATAATTCTTTTAATAATTTAAAAATTACGAATAATATAGATAATGATATGAAAAACGATGAAAACTATTGTTGTTCTTTTTGTTCTGACACAAAAGGATCTAAAAATAAAATTCAAGAAATAATAAAGTTATATGAGAAGAAAAATTGGAATTTCGAATCACATAATAATTATAACAGTTATAATAATATAAAAAAGTATTCAGATATTAATGAAAAAAAGCATAAATTGAGTGATGGTATAAATTCTGAAGTTGATGAAGAATTAGGTTATTATAAATTAAGTAACAAAAAAATTAAAGGATATGTTCCGTTTCAGAGCGCCTCATCAATAATCCCAAAGGAAATTAGAAACAAAGGAATAGTTGAAGTAATGAAAGAATTAGAGAGAAGGGAAGAATCAATGGAAAAAAAACAAAATGAAGAAAAAAGGATGAATAAAACAAATATAAATAATACAAATCTACATTATATAAATATAAAAAAAAAACATACATTATCATCCTTTAAAGTCCCTAGAAAGTTGTAAAAAAGGTTTATTAGATTGAAAATTCGTAAATATATATATTAACTTTTTTATTGTACAATTTTTTTTTAACAAATTTATACATATTCTCTGAAATCAAAAATTTATCCTACAATTTTAACGTTAGAAATAAATGAATTTTTATCACGATGATTTTCGTTTTTTTTTGTATATTTTATATATTAAAATTCTAATCACTTATATAAGAACATTGTATTAATAAATGTTAAAGCTAATATGCTTAATGTGTATTTATATATTTTTATTTTTTTATTTTTTTTTTGTGAAAATATTAAAACATCATATATTAAGTATACACAAAAAAAATATATTAACTTATATACTTCTCGTCTTTTCGTGTTTAAAGTATCAAGAAATAATAAAACAACTATATAATTTCTACATAAAGTCTGTACTTTTTATCATTAGTATACAAACTATATTTCTTCTTCAAAAAATTTCTTAAAAAAAAAGTCTAAACTAATTATTAAAATTGATAATGAAAAACAAAAATGAAAGTCTCATAACAAGTGAAAATTTTATTTTGTTTTTTTCTTAATTAATGAATAAAAAAAGAATTACTTTTTAAAATGTATAGACATTTTTCACTTTTGTAGTTTTTATACACTTTTCGTATATTTTTATAGCAGTGCTTTCTTTTATGTAATAATCTAATATTATGTAAATTAAATATTACATGATATTCTGTGTTGTAAAATATATATTATAGATCCTTTAATTTTTACATACAAAAGAGATGTAAAAAAAATAGTAAAAATATATATATATATATATCAAATAATTGTAAATATCTTTTTTTCAATTTTAATTAAAAATAAAAATGTAATATTCATCTCATATTAAAAATTTCAAAATATTAATTTTGATTTTATGTTTTTTATCTTTTTAGTAATTCCATATATTATTTGGAAGTCTTAATATATGTATAGAAAAAATTATAAAAAGAAATTATAAAAAACAAAAAAATATATAATTATTAAAATTATTTTCTAATATTAATAAATTTTTTTATATTTTAAAATTATGCTTCATACAACTATTTTTTTCTTAAAATAGAAAATAGAAAGATATACTAATTCTTTTTTACCTGTACTAGTTAATTTTTCTTCTTTTTTTTATAAAAAAGCATGAAGTAAAGCTTCATTTGAAAATATTTCAAAATCTCATAATATAAAAAAAAAAATTTTTAAATCTTAAAAATTCTATGCATGTTAAAATCATGTGTTCGACATTATATTTTCCCTGAATAATTTGGTACATTATGAAAAAAAAATAGCATATAGAATATTTACTGAGGTTAACTTTAAATTGAATTGTTCTTCTTAAATACATAAAATAAAATGTTGTTAATCTAATTTTTTTTTTTTTTCTTATATTGTTATTAATATGTATAAGTTTCTTCAAGAGGGTATGTAATTTACTTAAAAGCATATTTTTTCTCTAAATACTTTTGTTCATTGAAAACATGATCACAAAATTATTTTTTTACATAATTTTTTTTTTTCCATTTATTTAATTTTAAGAAAAAGCTATTTAAGTTAAAAAGAAAGATGAAAAAAAAAAAAAAAATTAAATTCTTGTAGCTATAATTAAATAAAAGAAAAAAAAAAAATAACTGTTTCCAAAAAAAAGAGATTTTGCACACAATTTTAAAGTGAAAATATTATTTTTTGTTTCACAAAAAGTATGTTAATTTATGAAATGTGAAATGTAAAAATACCTTATGAGTGAATAAAAATATTAAAATAATAAATTATTTTCAAATAGTTTATTTATTAAAAATATTAAAAGTAATTTTAATTAAAATTTAATTGTTTTTTATAATTCGGACCACAGAAAAATAAAACATTACCGCTGTTTTTAAAAAAAAAAAATCTGACTACACAGAAAGGTGATTCTGCACACATCTCTGTTTACAACTAAAATTTAAGAAATTTATTTCATAAAAAATGAATGAAATTAATGTGTTAAATATTAATCAAAAGTAAAAATACCATATTTATTAAATGAATAAAAATAAAAATTTTTAAGTAAAAAATTTTCTTTTAACATTTTTGAGTCATAAAAAAAAATAAAATATAATTTTTGATAATATTTTATTTTTGTGATCAGATCTTATCTAAAAAAAAAAAAGAAAATTGAGAGTTCAATGAAATATTGCTAAAATCAGTATTCTTTTAATTATAAACACACATATAACTAAAAATTAGTATGAAAATAAATGATATTTTTTTAAACACTTCTTATTTTTTTCTTTTTTTTATTTTCTCATTTATGATTAAAAGGTAAATTTGTTGTAAATGTACTATATTAACCTTTAAAAAAACAAATTAAATAGATATGTTCTTTTAATCACTCTCCATTTTCTTCAGCTTATTTTTATTTTTTTTTTTTTAATATTCTAATTTACAATAAGAATGCTAAAATATCAAATTCACTTTAATGTTTTCAATGTAATCATCTATATATTGAATTCTTTTAATTTTTTGTTTAATATTTTATTTCTTTTCATATAACTGTTTTGTTTATTTTTTTTTTTTTTTTTTATTTAAATAAATTAATAGCTTCTTTTTAAATAATTTACAATTTTCTCTTTTTTAAAATTTATGTTCTTATTTATTTTTTTTTCTTTTTGCACTTTTTAAAATATATAGATTTTTAATAAAATGAAAATTCGCTCATTTCTCATTTATTCCTTAGATACATACATGAAATTTATATAAATAGCATTTTCATGATAGGTTAATTTAACTACAAGAATACATGTCTTTAAAATAGGATAACCATTTTTAAATTAAGAATAAATGCAAATTACAAAAATTTCCTACTCAAATGAAAAATGACAATATATCTGAAAGGGAAGCCTTACTTAAATATAAATTAAATAATTCGAAAAAGAAACTAGACAGGGGTTGGAAAGAGAAAGTTTTAGCAATAATAAAAAAGGGAAATAAAAATGACGTACCCCAACATGGCGTTTCAAGTCATACAAATACTAAGAGCACATCAATATTTAATTTTGGAAAATTCAAAATTTTTGGTAGGTCTAAAAATATGTACAAAACAAAATCAAACAATAGAAAAGAATCTAGCATTAATTCTGACAATGCAAAAAAAAATATGGAAAAATTTTCATTAATAAAACAAAGTTCATGTGACAACAAACTTATTATTAACAGAAGCATTAGGAATAATTTTAACAAAAAAAGTACAATTAAAATACCTAAAAATGACATTAAGGAATTTAAAAAGTCTTTAAGTTCCATAAAAACTAAAGTAGGGACAAGATATTTAGATAATGACAAAAAAAATTCTGAACATTCAACAAAAGGTAATTATAATAATTCCAACCTAAATAATAATAGTAATAAACTACATTTAATGAAAAGTTTTGAAAAAAACAAAATAGTTACTCCATTTAAAGATTCTAAGAAAAATATAAATATAACTGAAGACAAACCTTTACTAAAAAACACTGTTAAAATAGAAATGAAAAATTTTCCTAAAAATTCTATAAATAATAATAATTTAAAGAGAAAAGAATTAATAGATTTCAATAATAATGAAAATGAAGATTATGATAATGATAAATTAAATTTTTCATCTGAAAAAACAATTAATAAATTAAATGATGAAAAAGCATCTTTAAATAAGACTAAAAATGAAAAATTCCTTCTATCAAAAAAAACAAATATGAGCATGGAATTAAAGAAAACTTATTCAAAAGATTTAGAAAATAGCAATATTAAAATAAATAAAATATGTTGTGATGTTAATAATAATAAAAATTCAAATATTATAAATAATCTAAAATTGAAGAAAAACGATATAGTTAAAAGAGCAAATATGGTCGTAAAAAAACAAAAAATTACAACAGATGAGTTATTGGATGCAAATAATATAAAAAACTTACGCCGTATAAATACAAAAGAATTAATGAGTATGGATGTTCCATTTAAGATAGATCCTCCTAATTTATTTTGCGAATATGCTTATAATATAAGGTTAAGATATATTCATTATATAATTAATAGTATAAAATATATATTATGTTTTAATTAAAGGCTAATAACTATATTTTAAAAATATAGTTTTTTTATAATTGTTTTAATTAATTTACAGTAAATCTTTAAATAGTATTTCATATTTAATTTAATTAAATATATATATATATATGTAGTATTGTTTCAAATTCCATTATATATATATATATTTTTTTATAACAATCTTAATTATTTTTTACGTAAAGTTGTAATTGCAGTGATATACAAGAAAATGATTTTTATTCTACTTATGTATATATTTATATTATATAGTATCTTTTATTCATTATCAAAAATTTTTTTTTATATTTTAAAATTTTTAAAATTCAGTCCTGTGTCACCTATTGAAGAAAGAATTGATATGATATATTCTATTTTGAATAATCATAAAAATGAAATAATAACGTTATTAAAATTGTGCATAGATAATAACAAACAAGTAAGAATGTTTAAAGAGAATAATGAACATAAAGAAAAAAAAAAAACAAATGTATCTTCTTATTGTAAAATCTCATAATATATTTTTTTTTTAAATGTTTTAGTGTTCTGAGATATTAAAAATAATTTTAGATGCCTTAATTGAAGGAGAAGATTCCATTGTTTCAAAATTAAATAAAAACAAGTACAATATATTATATGCATATATTATATAAATAATTAAAATAAATATATTTAGCGTAGTTAATAATATAACTGTATGAATAAATAAAAAAGACTTTAAGTTTAAAATATAAAAATTATTAAATATTATTTGTAGGCCTTTACAGGATGAAATAATTATGGAATTGGAACAAGTTTTAGAGTCTGTCAATGAAGATTAAAAATATTTAAAATAGCATTTTCCTAAATACATATTTAAAATTAAAAATGTGAATTATTTGTATAATTAAAATTAAAGTATAAAAAAAAATTTTATTTTATTTCTTTTATAAAATATGAAAATCAATAATATAATATAAGTTTAAAACGTTAAAAATTAAAAAAAAGTAATTTTAAAAGAAAAAATTAAAAATTTATCTTTTAAAAATAAACAAAATTCACTAAGAAAAGTGAGCATAAACTAAAGCAAAAATATATACATATATTCATAAAAGAAAAGAAATTTCAAAATTAAAAATATGGTTATAATCACTTCTAAAATAATTCCACTATTAATATTTAAAATTTAAAACAAAAAAGTTTATCCTAGTATATTAAAAAAATAATATACATACACAAATAATGTTTTTTATACAATATATTATTTAATAATTTTTTAAGTATTCTTGATGCATTTTATAATCATTCAAAGGCAAATCTAAACAACCTGGAGCAATTTTATCAACATCAATCATAGCCTTTTCTAAAATTTCAGAACACTGAAGTGTAGATGCATAATTTCTTATATATACATCCAATTTGTTTCTAAATAGCCTATGGCCTGGCATACCTTTTAATATACCCAAAATTGGCTTTAACAATTCAAATGCACTAGCTACATTATAAAAAATAGAATTCTCTTCTAAATATGATTTATATGCATTTAATGCTGTTCTTCTACTATATGCAGTATCTGGAACTTTCTCATTATAAATTAATTTATCTGTTTGGTATAAAATAGTAGTATTTTCCATACATGCTCTACCTATCATAACTCCATTTAGTGGGTTAATGTTATAATTTTCAACAAAAACATAATTATTTTGATTTAAATCATTATTTTGTGGCATATATCCATTTAATAAAGCTGTAGCTTCTTCTATAGTCTTTACACCTCCATTTAAGGTAAATTTTAAATTAGGATAAAGCTTACATAAATCATATACTTTTTTATATTCTAATGGTGGTATTTTTCTATTTTTTTTTGGATCTAAGCCTTTTAACCAAGCTTTTCTTGCATGAACAATAAAATGATTACACCCTGCTGATGATACCGTTTCTATAAAAGATTTTAAAAATGAAAAGGAATCATAATCATCAACTCCTGTTCTTAATTTAACTGTTACAGGAATTTGAACTTTTTTTTTAATTTCATAAACAATGTTTCTAACGTGTTCTGGTTTTTTCATTAAAGATGCACCAAATGCTCCTTTATTAGCTACTTTTGTACTTGGACATCCTACATTTATATTTATTTCATCGTATCCAGCTTGTTCAACTAAAATAGCTGCTTCCGACATGGAAGTTATGTCACATCCTCCTAACTGACAAACTATAGGATGTTCATTATCATTGAAACCTAAGTATTCTTCTAAATTATTTAAATTATATAATAGTGTATTATCAACTATCATTTCAGTCCACAATTGAGCTTTTTTAGTAAAAATTCTTACAAGTGCACGAAAATGCCTATTAGTTACATTTATCATAGGCGCTACTTGTATAAAAGGTATTACTTCATTTTTATTTTTCCAATAAGATGAATTTAAATAAGTGCTTATATTTTCAAATTTAAAAATATTTTCACAAGAGCTTAACATTTCTCCTGTATTATTTTCTTTTAATGTTAACATATTGTTTTTATTTTTTATTTTTGTAAAATCAGTAACTTTATTAAAACAATATATATATTTTTTTGAAATATTTAGCCATAATTTTTTTTTTTTTTTATATAACTTAACCTTTTCTATATATACTCTTACAAGAGTATATGTTTTTCTTTTCAATTTAGTTTTACCATGATTTTTTAAAAGCAAAAAATATATACATAAAATGAATCCTATCAGTTTAACTTGCATTTAAATTTAAAAAAAAAAAATTTCATGAAATTCTCATTTTTTTTTTTTTTTTAAGTTTTACTTTATATTTCTCATTATATTAACCAGAAATGATACAAGCCATAATTTAAAAAAAATTCATAATTTTTTAAATAAATTTTAAAAATTTAAAAAAAACGAAATAGTATATAAGTTAATATAACATTATATTAAGAATAAAATTTTCATGTAGATTTAAAAAAAAGATGTTTCAAAAAAATATAGCATGTTGTACTAAATTTGCTTTAAAAAATTATAGAAATTTTTTTTTCTTAAACTTTTTATATCTTTCTTGAATAAGTATTATACATACATTTTGTTTTGATATTATCTATATAATTTTTGATTGATGCAAAAAAAACATATGTTTTTATTTATTTTCTTTAAACTGTTTTTTTTTTAATAAGCTTAAAAATAAAAAAATATGTTGAATTTTCTTGCTTTTTTATTTCAAATATTTATCCCATTTTTTTTAAATATTGTTTGTTTATATTTTAAAAACATATTTATATGAAATTTTTATAATAAATGGTTTAAATAAATTTTTTTAAATGAAGAAACTTTTTTAACTATATATTATAATTTTATAATTTACTTTTTTTCAATATATTTTATGTTTTCATTGTAAAAAGTACTTGAAAGATATAAAAAAAAAAAAAAGTAAGCTGTAGTAATATTGTTCTTAAATTTTAATAAATATTTAAAGTTACTAAAATTAATAGTCAGAAAACCTCAACGTATATGAAATTTATATATATTATAAAATAAGTTTTTTATATATATAACCTTCTTTTGAAAAAGATAAAAAATTTTTAAATATATATTGTTATATTCTTTGTATTTCATTTTTTATTTCATCTAATTTGTTTTTATTTAAAAAAAATTTATTTTTGTTCTATGATTTGCATTAATTTTAAGAGAAATAAAATCAAAATTATAAGTAAGTGAAACAGAATAAAAAAATTACATTCTTTCAAAAAATTTTAAAGGCAAATATTCATGAAAAAAACTCAAAATACTTGTTTTAAAGATATTGTGCAAATTACATCCAAAAAAAAAAAAAAAAAAAAAAAAAAAAAATACACTATTTTTTTATTTTTTTTTTTTCGAAAGTAACATACTTCATTTTATTGGCTTATTAATAAGATTTTTAAACTTAAAAGAGCAATTTTTTAATCTGAATATTTAATTCATTTTTTTTATTTTTTTTTTTTATAATATTTTGAGTAATTATTATATATCCAAATAAAAATATTTATACATTACATATTTAAAAAATATTTATTGGAATATTATAATTCTATAAATATTGTGGAAGATATTCATTAAAATTTTTTTTAACATTTAATTATTTGGTAAATTAAAAATATTTTTTTTTAATATTAAAGTATATTGCTGTATAGGTATGTTCTTTTTTTAATAAGTTGAAATATATATTTTATTTCTATGTGCAAATCATTTTATTAAAAAAAATATATACTGTAATATATATATATATAATTTGTTTATGTATGGATGTCAAACTTAAGAATAAATTCGTTTATTTGTTAAATAAAATAAGCACGAACATTTTTGATTCTGTGCCTCTAACAAGAATATTTGCATAACTTTTTAAATTATATTTTTTGTTTTTTTATCTTTATTTTTTTTAAATTTATTATTAAAAATAATGTGCATTGTTTTATTTATATATTAATTTTCATATAATTTCCAAGATATTAAAAAGTGTTAATTGAATTAACTAAGCATAGTTCAAAGAAATTTTAAAATTATATACACTCTCTTATTATTGGAGTTATAAATCCAAAATTAATTTTTTTCACTGTATTTATATATAATAAAATAATTAAAGTTTATTACTATCTTTTAGTATTTTTATTATTAATTTGCTAAATTCTGTTTACTGCTAACATTTTTTTATTTATAAGGTATTGCACATTATTCTCACAAAGTTTATTTGATTTATCAAAAATTAAATTTGTATTATTATATTATAAAAAAAAAAATTATAAAAGTTTAAAAGAATCCAAAAAAACCATAAGATCCATAAACAACATTAAAAATAACAAAAACAAAGAGAATTATAAAAATAGGCTACAAAAAAAAAAAATAAAATAAAATAAAAAAAAAATAACCATATTCGCCAAAATAAAAAAACTATTATTTGAAAAATAAAAATATTTTAGAATTACAGAAATATAGATACATAGAATGACTAAAAAAAAATTATTATTTTGGAACATTCATGATTTATATTTTTAAAATAAAATAAAAAAAAAAGATGGGATTCCTCAAAATTGGAACACCATTAAGTTGGGAAGAAGTTCAACATGTAAAATCTTTAATACGATTATATGGTCTTTTGCAATTTGTTCATATATACAAATGCAACAAGGATAGAGTGGATAAAAACATAATGTTTGGTGATGAAATAGAATATATTATTATAAAAAATGATGAAACTTTAAAAGAATCGTCTGCTCTTTTATGTGCTTCAGATTTGATCGATGAAATGATGAATTTAGAAAGTGTTACAGATTGTCAGTATGGTTCTCATTGGACTCCTGAATTCTCTTCATTTACTATTGAGGGAACTCCATCTGTTCCTTTTAAATTTGATATTAATTCTTCTTCATTTGTTGAGGATTGCATGAGAATAAGAAGAAGTAAATTAAATAATGTTCTGAGTGCTATAAATGGTGTTAGAGCAATTACATTACCATGCTTTCCAAATGTGCTTTTGGATAATAGTCTTCTTATGGCTAAAAGAAAAAATTATGAAAATAATAAAAGAAAGAACGAAAAGTGTAAAGTAGAATCTATAGAAACATCAATTATAGAAAATCTTAACTCAAAAAAAAATGAAAAAAATTATATTGAATGCACAAAAGCAGTTAATTCCTTAAATGAAGATAAAAATTCTATTATTGATGCTATTACAAATGAAATGGAAGAAATTAAATCAGTTAATTTTGTAAACTCTGATATAACATTTCAAAAAAGTGATGAACTTTTATTACAAGATATTTATGGTGAAGAGGGTGATGGGACAGAAGTAGGAGGAATAAAACAAGAACAAAAAATTGAAAAAGAAGAGGGAAAAGATAATGAACATGATATGTTTATGAATACAATAAAAGGAAATTTATCATTTGATTGCGAACTATTTAAACCAGAAAATATAAGGCCATATAGTAAAAGTTGTTTAATATCAGATATGGTTATAAGTCCACATGCTAGATATATTACTCTAACAAAAAATATTAGAGAAAGAAGGGGAACAAAAGTTATATCTTTTAATCCTATATATAAAGATATATATACGGAAAATTTGAAACATTGGGATTTATCACTTGATAAAAATGATAAAAGACTTTTTAAGAAAATAAAAAAAAAATATATTTTAGATGATCATTTAATTTGGAATAAGTCAATGAACAATATAAAAAATTCTAAGAATAATGAAAAAAAAATAAACGCATCTAAAAATACAGTTGATATAGCTAACCAAAGTGATATAAAACTATATAAAGATAATATAGAAATAGAACGAGAAAGTGTAAACTACTTAAAAAATAAAGAAGAAAATCTAATGGACACAGTCATAAAAAATAGCCTATTTAGTAATTTAGATGATGAAGAGGATTATATATATGTTTATGATAGGAAATTTATTGAAGAATATTCTGAAAAATCAAAAAATCCAGTTAAAAATTATATATATTTGGATGCCATGTTCTTTGGAATGAGTATGTGCTGTCAACAAATAACGATGTCTTTTCCAACTATAGATGATGCGAGATATTTATATGACCAACTAGCTGTTATTGCACCTCTTTTTTTAGCATTAACTGCTTCTACACCATATCTGGGAGGATTTCTTACAGAAACTGATACAAGATGGAGAGTTATTTCAAATAGTGTTGATTGTAGAACAGAAGATGAATTATCTTATATATCAAAACCAAGATACTCAGGAATATCATTATATATATCTAATGAATTACCTTTGAAAAGCAATTACTATTTTTACAATGACATTGATATAGTCCTTGATAAAAATATTTATGACAAGTTAAGAAAAGAAAACGTTGATGATTATTTAGCTAGGCATATATCGTCTCTATTTGTAAGAGATCCAATTGTTGTTTTTAAAGGGTCATATAATGAAAGTGATATTCTATCCATTGAAAAAAAAATTAAAGAGTTTAACAAGAGTAACATATTTAAGGAAGAAGAGAAAGATACTAATACATCTAAAAATAAAAGTAAAGAAAGTAGTATGCACGATATTTATTTAAGTGATAATTTTGATTTCTTAGAAGATTATGAAGAAAAAGTATTGTCATCACATCAGCATTTTGAAAATTTTCAAAGCACTAACTGGAATAGTGTTAGATTTAAACCTCCACCAATCCTTGACAATCATTTTAATGGACCAAGTTCTATTGGGTGGAGGGTAGAATTTAGAACACCAGATATTCAAATTACTGATTTTGAAAATTCTTCCGTTGTTACATTAATTATGGTTTTATCGAAATTTATCTTAGAAGAAAGGTTAAATTTATATATACCAATGTCCTTGTTGGAAGAAAATTTGTATAGGTCTGCTCACAGAGATGCTATAATAAAGGAAAAATTTTATTTTCGCAAAAATTTAAATTATTATACAACTGATAATGAAATTGAAGAAAAAAGCATCTATGACATTTTTTTTAATGAAAAGAATGGAATTTTTTTTTTGTGTTCAAAGTACATTGAAAAAAAATTTAAGGAAGGAACATTGAGCCAATCTGCGAAAAATAAAATAGATGAATATATTGAATTTATAAAATTGAGATGTAATGGAAAAATATCTACAGGTGCTGCTTACTTAAGAAATTTTATTTTAAATCATCCATCTTATGAAAAAAACTCTTATATCAATAGTAAAATAAATTATGACGTATGCAAATTAATAGCAGATATAGGAAAGGGATTAATAATCCCACAAGAACTATTAGGAGTTTTTGTTGACCCATACAAAGAAAGAATTAAAAGCGATTTGCGGCAAATAAATGAAAGCCAATATGTTAAATCCTTGGCATACAAATTTATATCAGGGGAAGATTATACACAATATTTACTTCTTAGTGAAGTTATTAAGCAAGATAAAGATTATTACACATGTACAAAGCGCACAAATTATGAAGAGTCAACAGACAACACATTGGAATTTGGAAAAAAGCTATACCAGTTAAGTGCATAATTTTTTTTTATTTTATTTTTTACAATAACACTACACTGTAACGTTTTTATTGATTATTAAGCTTATTGATTGTTAATAACATTTAAAATAATAAAAATAAAATTATGTAAAAAACCTATTTAAAATTCACCATTTTTATTTATTTATTTTTTTTAATTTTTTAATTTTGCGTAATTGCTTGAAAAGGAAAATTTTTTTTTCTTTTTAAAATTTAATTTTTCAATAAAAAATTAAGGGGCATAAATATTAATTTCTTAAATCCTAAAAAATTTCATGTGCATAAAATGAATATATAATAAGTAAACATAAGTAAAATGAAAAAAAAAAAAAAGTTTATTTTATTTTCTTTTAATATTTTTTTTCTTTCTTTTTTTTTTTTTTAATTTTTATTATTTTTTTTTTTTTTCTTTTATTTTTTGTTTTTTAGTCTTCATTATCGTCATCTTTTCCATCATCTTCATCGCCATCTCTATCATCATCTTTATCTTCATCATCATCATCTTTTTCATCATCATCATCATCATCATCTTCATCTTCATCTTCATCATCATCATCAAACTCTTCATCAAAATCTTCTTCAAAATCTTCAAATTCATCAATACCTAAATAATATGACAAAGGATTATGCCATATTTCTCTTCTTATTAATTCTCCTAAATCAGGTTTATCTTGTAATTCTTCAGTTGTAAACCATTCAAATATTGACCACTTAGGTATTTCATTATCTAAGTCTGACCTATTATTTGTTACTGCTGCAATAGGATTTTTTCCTTCTTTCCATTTTATACGCGTACATTCAACAACTTTTTCTTGATTATTATCAAAAGTTACATGTTTAACTAACGTTAATGGTTCCATAAATTCTTTTGCTTTTTCACCAAAAATAAATGTTATTTTATAGGATCCATTATTATCCATATTATCTTTTAAGTCTAATTTGATTAAATGTTTTAAAATTTCAATATCTTCAGGTACTATGTCACTTAAAGCTGGATGTTTTCTTAATGTATTAGCCCAAAATCCTGGAACCTTTCCAATAATTTCTTCTCTTTTTTCAAACAAAGGCTTTTTTTTTTCATCATACTGCTTCTGTATATTCATCTGTTCATGTGCACATTTTATATCTAGCTGTTCGATATCTTTTTGAACTATACGAAAAAAAAAAAAAAAAAAAAGGAATAATATGTTTTTTATTTATTTACGTATTTCATTTTTCGTAATTTTTATTTTTATAAATATTAGTTTATTTAATTCTTAATTGTTCATGCTTTTTTTTTTTTTTTTTTTTTTTTTTTTTTTATATTTTGTTTCATATATTATATGTTTAAGCATTTAATGTAGGATAAAATTTTATAAGTTTATATTCATTAAGTATACATATATATTTATTTATTATTTGTAATTAATACAAATTAAAATTTATAATAAAATACTATATATAGTGTTTATTTGATAAAATTATTTTAGTTAAATTTTTTTTTCTCTTATATAATATTACTATCTTCAAAATCTTTCATATATGGTACTAATGGGTCATCATTATCAATTTTACTGTATAAAAATGATAAAAAAAAAAAAAAAAAATATATATATATATATATAATATATATAAATGTATTTGTACATATATGTATGGATATATTAGCGAATATATATATATATATGTATATAAATAAAATATAGTTATAATGATAATATTAGTATATACTAATTAAGATTTGCTTTTTTTTAATAATTCTTTATATTTAATTGAAATTCCAAACGAATTCATATTATAAATAAAAATAATACACTTTCAATTAATTTCTCTTTGAAATGTAACATGTATGAATTTTAAAGTAAATATATAAATTTTATATTCTTAAAGATAATCTATCTTACGTATGTTTGGGATCTGTTGTATTTTCTGCTGAATTCTCTGAGCGATCTCTTTTCATTTTTAATTATTTTATATTGATATGATTAAAATATGAAAAATTAAAAAAAATGCGTTAATTACAATGATCTTTAAATTATTAAATTTAAAAGGAAAAAGATAATTTTTATTTTTCTTAATATTAATAGATATAAAATAAAAGATTCATTGATAAAAAAAAAATTAATGAAAAATAAATTTATATAATTATATATTCAAAAATATTATAATAAAAAAAAAGCTATAATAAAATTAAAATAAAATTAGTAATGTTAATAATATATATAAATAAATAGCAGCAAATATAATATATTAAAAAAAAAAATATAGTGCAAATATATTTTATGAATTAAAAAAAAAATAGAGTTCTTTATGTACTATTTTGCATTAGTATAATTAATATTAATTTTTATTTTATTAATTTTGCATGTATAAGGTGTTTTTTATTTATACATATTTTGTAAATAGAAATACTTTTAATTTTGTAATCTATACTTTATATTTTCTTTTAATTTTTAAAAAATAATAACAAAATATAATTATTTATATTTTTTTTTTTTTTTTTTTTTTCGATTTGATGTGAAAAATTTATGTTTACGCTTTAAAATATTTATCAAACGAAAACCTCTACTAAAATTTAGCTAAAATATATTATTTTTTTATAAACTTTATTTAAAATTTTTTTTTTCTTTTATTATATTTTATATGTATAATTTAAATAAGCAAAATTACTGTTTTAAAATTATAAATGAAACAGAAATTTCATTTAAAATTTTTATATTTTAGTTAATTCCAGCTAATAAATGTATTTTCTACCAGAAATAATAATTTAAAATATATATAATATTATTATATTCACACTTCTATATGTTAAGAAAAATAAATATATGTATCTCGTATAAAATAATTTTACAAGTATTAACTACAAGTTTTTTTTCATAACCTTTTATTTTTTTATATGGTAATTCTTAACTTTTTAAACTTAATGGCATCCTAAAAGAATTTATTATAATTAATTATCTTTTTCTTCCTTTTTTTTATTTTTCTTAATACACACATAATTTAATGATTTTTGAATTACAAAAATGAATAATTAAATTTTTTATCGTTTTGAAAGTATTCTGCAAACTTTAAATAGATATATATATATATTTTTTTTTTCTTAAAATATCAACTTTTTGTTATTTGTATTTATATATTTTAATATTAAAATAAAGTAAGTTTGTAAAAAGGAAATTAATTTTTTTTTTACTTTTCTAAATTATATTATATTAAAATTTCTTTTTCTTTTTTTTTCTCTCTCCACCTATGAAATTTCGTATAGCTAATTTTTGTATTATAGAAAAAAAAAAAAAAAAAAAAACTTTCTTATGTTTTTCTTTAGCTGGCGTCTTATTTTAAAATTAAAGAAAATTTTTAAATAAAAAAAACAAAGCTAAGATGTTAAAATTTTATATTCATTAAGTTAAATTATTTAAATAGAGAAGTACTTGTGTACAATATAATGGAACACAATTATCATTACGCATTTCTTTTTAGAAAAAATTTGATCGTCATAAAGATATCAAAAACTTTAATTTCATATATATTTTTTTATATCTAAATATATACTTACATATTATATATATATAATTATTTTTCTGTAATGATGATTTAAAACTACATAAAAATTTCAAATTCTCTCTAGCTGAAAGAGTATTTTACTAACTAGTTTAAATTAAACTTTTAAGGAAAAGTAAAATAAGTATATTTATACTGTTTATTATAGAAAATTAAAAAAAAAATGAAGTTCTAATGCTAATACTAAATCTAAAAATATCATAAATTGTATGCCATAGAATTATCGTCTTTTGGCAATACTACTTTTTATTCATTTATTGTAATCTATTATACTTGAATAAATAATATATGTAACAATTTCTAATAAAAATTCTACACACAATAAAAACTCATTACAAAAAAATGCCACACAAAAAAAATATATTGAAGTTATGAATATTATATATAAAAGTATCAAATTAAAAATTTTCTTTTGTGATATTTAATTATCTGTATTCTTACTGCTAGAACTTTCGAATTGCAAAAAAAAAAAAAAAAATATAAGTAAATTATAAATGATTTTTATTATATATTTATAAGAACTTTTATTTTAAAGTATCCATGAAGTTTGTTAATATTTCAATTTTTTTTAATATCTTCTTTGACTTTCCTATTTATTTTTACTATTATTTAAATAATAAAATGCTCAGAACTTCTTCATACGTATTAAAGCAATATTTTTAAAATATATTCTTCATCTTCTTTACAATATTTTATTATAGCTATTTAAATCATTATAATTGTGCATATTAATTGTGTTTTATTTTAAAATATAATTTTTTAATATCTTATCAGAAAAATTCAACCCTTATTTTACACTGTAAAAAAGCAAAATAATTGTACAACCAAATAAAACATGCAAATTTAGGAGCAAAAAAAATTAAAAAAAAAAAAAAATATATATATATATATATATATATATATATATATGTATGATATATATAAAAGAATAAAGTATCAACAAATTTTATATTTTTTATATTTTTTAAAAAAATGCAAAATTATTTCATGTGATTTGCATAATGAAAGAAAAATTAAAATAAATTAATAATTAATTTTGAAATAAATTTAAAGTTTTAGTTATTAATATATATATACATTATTGCAGGCAATTTATTTTCTATTAGAAATGTTGAACGATATAATTTTTCAAGTTATTATAGCTGCTTTTGGCGTTTCTCTAGTCAATAGTGATAAATTAAAATTTCTTCATAAATTAAGTTAGAATTTTGCTTATATATTCATAGATTTTTTTTATCCTTTTACATGATATGCTGTTTTTAAAAAAAAATTTCTTTATATATATTTCTTATTACGTATTTTTTTTTTATTACATTACTATTTTTTTCAAAGATGAACCTGATTATTTTAAAATTAGATATATGATTAAATTTGACTATTATACTAATTGTTAAATATTAGATAACTTTTTTTTATTGCTTTTTATTTGTAAATATATTAACTCCTCTTTTTAATTATCTATTTTAGAGGATATATATAAATTTTTTTATTTAATTCTCAAAATAACATATGTATATACTATTTTGTGCTTTTATAAGATCTTGAAAATAATAGTTTGTTTTTTTTTTTTTTTTACATAAGGGAATACATTTTTGTTTTAATAATAACACTTAATATTTTAATAATTAAAATTTAGAAAAATAACTATTCATATACATATTTAATGTATACATATGTTTATTGGTTTAGTAGTTTTAAATTTATATTATATTAAAAGAAAGTAATATTTAAAATTTTTTTTTTTTTTTTTTTTTTCCATTAGAATATGCCATCTATATATTAATTTTGTCTTTTTTATTATATAAGGGAATACCATGGAAGAGAGAAAATTATTACACTTATTTAAGTGTAACACCAAATGCAACAAAGCAAGAAATACAAACAGCATATAGACAAGCAGCTAAAGTTTACCATCCTGTTAGATTAAGAAAATATTTAAAATATACATATATATATATTAAAAAATAATAGAAATAATAAATGAATAATAAAAGTGTATAAATTTATATTTATATTATTTATTTTTTTTTCAGGATAAAAACCCTGATGAATATGCAGACTCTTCATTTATAAAATTAAAACTGGCTTATGACATTTTAACCGATGATGTTAGAAGAAGCAATTATAATAGATTTGGGGATTACAAAAATGGTATGAAAATTTTCTCATATAATTTATTTTCCTCATATTTAGATTTGTTTATTACTTTATATATATTAATAGCTTTTTTTATATAATTCATTCTAAATTTTTTTTTTTTTTCTTCGAAATACAGGAGAAGTAGATGATAATACTGCTACCTTATTAATATGTCTTTCATTAGTTCAGCATACTATGTTTTTCATTATAGGATATTTTTTATCCTATCCGAAGAAATTAGAATTTTCAAGACAGGTAAAAATGCATTCATTCATAAAGAAAAAAATCCCAAAATAATTTTTTTTATTTTTTTATTGTAAAAAAATATATTATTAAAAACATATATTTATATGTTTTATTGTAAATTATGATAAGTATTTATATATATATAAAAATTTATATGAATTCCATATTTAATAATTTTAATACATATTTTTTTTAATTTTCAAGATATTTTTAGTTTATAATATAGCTAGCTTTTGTTTTGAGCTACAATTTCGATTTATAGAAGATGACACAACATTTGATTGGCTTCCATTTTTGGGATATTTATTACCATATGAAAAAATAAAATTACTTAGGATGTTATTTCCTATTGTATTCTTTATTAGCATATGTGCATCTGCTCATATTTATACAGACAAAAATGCTACAATGATATTTTTAATGCGCTCTATTTTATCAACCAATAGAATTATTGTTGAGAGATCTAATGATGTTATTGAATCAACAAATTATTTAAAAAAACATGGAACTGATATAATTTCAAAATTACAGCATATAAGAAAAAATGAATTATCTTCCACATTAAATTTAAAAGATGCTTCAAAAATAGGAAATGAAAATTTAGAAAATGTAAATAAGTATGATACAGAAAATAGTGGGAAAAAAAGTTCAAAAGATGAAGTTATTGATTCAAAATTGTTGGATAACATACAAAAATTTTCATTAACCCTTGATTCGCAGCAGATGAATTTATTGGAAAAATGCTTTGAATTAATGAAAAATAAAAGTTCTAAAGATAAAAATAAAAAAAAATCGTGGTTTGAATTTTTCTCCTTACAAATGATATTTGGAATTATATTCGTTTATATATGGTTAACATCAAAGTAAAAATAAAAAATTTTATTTTTTTATATATTTTGAATAATTGAAAATTTCTAGAAATAATTATGAATTATTCAAGCCATTTCAAATATGTATCACATATAATAAAACTTATTTTTAAAAAAAATATATATATTAAATGAAAATATACTGAATATTATTAAAAGTCATTTAATTTTATTAAGTATTTTATTTACACTTTTTATTTAAAAACATACATAAATATAGCTTCTTTAATTTTTTGTTGAAGATTTTAAAAAAAGTAATAATTTAAAAAAACAAAAACAATGTAACTCCTTTATTTGTAAATTCTTTTTTTTTTTTTTTTTTATCCATATTTACAACTATATCCTTTCTAATATTTTAATGAAAAAATGAAATTCCTATATTAACTATTTTCAAAAATATTCATTATTTTATTCTTTTTTTATTACTTCGTGATATAGATTGTACCTATATATATATATATAGCAAAAATAATACATAAAGACACTATAGGTTTCGTATAAATTGTCCAATGCGCACGCATAAGTTTATTTTTAAGATTAAAAAAAATTAAAATGAGCATTAAAGCCTTAAAATGAATTAAAATATATTATATTTAAACATATAAAAATTATAAATAAAAATAAAATGGCAATTATATTTACAGAAAAAATGGGAACATTAATGTGCCTTGTAATATTATGTAGAGTTATTTTAAATTATATAACTAAAATTTAAAAATAATTAATATGAAAGTATATATGAATAAATATAAAATAAATTATGTTTAAGATGATGCTATTTAAATAACACAAATAATTCTTGAACATTATAAGGAAAAAATAATTCAAAAAAAAATTTCCTTAATTTCTTTTTAAGAAAAATAAAGATCAAAGAAAAGAGAGAACAAAATAACAGTCTTCATGTTTTAAACATTAATTTTAGAACATATGAAGCATTATGTTTTATATTTTAGTTGAAATATTAAACAAATATATATCTTTTTTTAAAGATATAAAAAAATTAATACTTTTATCTAATAAATTTTTTTTTTAATTTTATAATGAAGGCATATAATTTAGACGATACATCTTTTCAACTTATATTTTGAAGTATTTGTATAAATTTATCATATATTATTTAATTTTACCATCAAATATTTCCAGTTTTATATATTTTCATGTTAATGAAGATGTTCCAGTCGTACTAAATGAATATATACTTTTTAATTGAGGTTGGTGAATATACTTGCCTACTTCATTATTTAAGCATTTTATTGTTTCATTTATTATGTAATCTTTGTAATATGCAATTTGTTTATTACAAGTATCATTTTCATAATTTGAATATGGAATAATATGAAAGGTGCTGTTACATCTCTCATAATAATTAGCGTTTTTGTCCTTTATATATAATATTCCTTCAGAATTTTTAAGTTTTTTATTTCGTTTGAGTATTGATTTAGATAGGTTTAAAGCATATATATAGAGAGTTTTATCATTACTTGAAAATTCCACAGTGTTAATATATCCGCATAATGCGACATTTTTAAAATTTCCAACTAATTTACCCAATCTGGAATAAAACATGAATCTATGAAATAATCTTTTCCCACTCAACAATTCAAATAAATCATCACAAAAATGATTACAATTTTTGTAAATAAAATTATATGTGTTTGGCCTGTATATTTTTCCAAGAGCATTTAAAATTTCTGAAAATTGAGAATAAGTTAATTGCATATAAGATAATTCATAGCTTTTGGAATATTTCCCTATTGTTGATTTTTTTGGTTTACAGGTTATTATTCCTGCCATTGAAAACGTGTATTCTTTACCAAACACCTCAATTCCTTTAAAAAAAAAATATATATGCATATATATATATATATATATATTTAAAAGTATTTGTAAAATATATTAAGAATATATTTCATCTTAGGAAAATATAATTAGACTAATAATAGTTATATGTTTATACATTAATTAAAAAGAAGTACATTAATTTATCTTTTGTATATATATATTTCGTTTAACTATTGTGAATATTATAACACAATATTCCAACAATTTGTTAAAAACAATATTTAAAAATACAACACTTATGTATTTACACGTTTTTGTATGTTTATTTCTTTTTATATATAAGTAAAATATATTTTCTTTATTTTAAAAAAATAATTTACAATTTTAAATGTTTACCTGTGTGACGAACATTTTTCAAAAAAAAAGGAACATTTAGGGTGTATGTATGTAAAAAGATATTCATTTATTATGATTAACATCAAAATATTTTTATATTTTATACTTATTTAAAATATATAATATGATTTATTATTTTAACAATGTTAATAAAATTCAAAAAAAAAAAAAAAACAAAATTATAATATATTTCTTATTACGCAAAATTTTTATACTCTCTTTGAAAGTATTAATAAAATATCTAAGGTAAAACTCAAGAAATTAAAAAGAAATAAATTTACAAATATATAAGTTTTTAATTTAATATAATCCAATTATTTTTTTTTCCTTTTTTTTTTTTTTTTTTTTTTATGTTCTAGTATATATTTACTAGCTATATAGACTTTTTCTAAGTTAAATAGCAGTTAAAAAAAAAAAAAAATTTTNTTTTTTTTTCCTTTTTTTTTTTTTTTTTTTTTTTTTTTTTTATGTTCTAGTATATATTTACTAGCTATATAGACTTTTTCTAAGTTAAATAGCAGTTAAAAAAAAAAAAAAATTTTATATTTTTATAGTAACTAGTTATATAAATATAGTTACTATATTTTTATGTTGTACATATTAAATTTTCAATTTTTTATAATATATATGAAAAAATATTACATTATATATATATATATATATATATATGTATATTTATGAATGTACCTTTATTTAAAGAGGAAATTATTTTTTTCATTATTTTTTCTCTTAAAATGAAACTTTTTTAATGAAAAAAATTTTTTATGTCTTTATTTTTTCATTTTACTCTATTTTCCTAATATATTTTAAATATTATAAAAAAAATTTTACACACACGCAACTGTAAATTAGGAAATTTTTCTTTTTATTTGTTATTATCTTTCTTGTTAATATTTTCTGAATATATAAATATATATATAAGAGATCATTAAAAATAATTTTTTTTTAATTCTAATAAATTTTCTACAAAAAGTTTATATATTAATTTAAATTATAAGAAATAAAGGGGAATCATTATTAAATAAAAAAGATTACGAAATTTTATTTGATAGATTTTTATTTTTTATTTTATTTTCACATGTTACGAAAAAATTATTATATTAAAATTCGAAAAAATATTTAAATCATGATATAATTAAAAATTAATACTAAAACAAAAACTTCAACTGAAAGAAAATGATCTTAAAAGGTATATGATTATTAATATTTAAGGATAATTTTTTTGTCAATAAAGGTAAAAATGAAAAAAGAAAAATTTTCTTAAAACGTTATCTATAAACTTAAAAGTTCTATTTTCATGTTATAACTAAATATTGTCACAAGGTTATCAAAAAATCAAATACAATTATAAAAATTAGAAATAATAAATAAGTGATATAGGAATTTAACTTAAAGGTATTCGTAAATTATATTATCATGGCTATTTAGCATTACATAAAACAAGAAGAATATTCTTCCTGATTACTTTTCTTTAATGAAATTTAAAAAAAAGATTAAGTTATTTTTTTTAATTTTTTTTTAATAAATTATAAAATGTGTTGTAAATTTTTAAATTGCTAAAATAGAATACAAATGCTATTTACTTTTTATTAATATGACATATTTTATATATTCGCTAAAAGCTTTTTATTTTTTTTTTTTTTTTATATATTTGATATATGAAGTGAATTTATAATTTATATTTTATACTGTAAAATTTTATTGTTGAAAAAAACTTAAGTATTATCGCTTGTTAGCTTTTATTTCTCGTCATAAAATTATTTTAATTTTTACTATAGAATAAAAGAGAACTATTTGTCCTACGCCATCATTTTTTTTTTTTTTAAATTTATATTTAAAATTAAAACACAATTATTGTACTTTCTATTAAACAAGATAAAATATAAGCTTTTTATCATACAAACTGCTCTTAAAGAATTCTTTAATTTACAGCTCTCCATGTGTAAAAACGCATATATAGTATATACTTTTTTTTTTTTTTTTTTTTTTTTTTGGTAAGGTGAA